CCAAAAGGAAGACAAATCTCACTTGCACAAGTCTCCAGCATCCTGATTCACTTGTCACCTGTCACGGGAGAGTTACACAGAACACATAAGAAAAACATTCCAAATAAAAGAAAGATAAATTTGAGAGTTCTTACAGGACAACTCCACTTCAGAAGGAAAAAAAAAAAATCTATTTAAGATATTGGATACAACTGTTCTCTAAGGTCTGTTTCCATGATGAGATGGCTGCTTTCTGTATCTGGTCATAGTAATACAAAGACTATTTCACAGGCAGTAACACAGTTTTAGTTTAAATAACAAAAGGTAAACATTAAACAAGAAATTTGACATGCATATAATCCAGAAAAAAACAATCAGTCAATACACACTACTGGAAATCTTCGGCCTTTACAAAGTTGTAACTATAGTTTGTTTGTTTGGGGTTTTTTAATGCTTTTCTCATTTTGCCTTTTATTCTATTATTTTCTGTCTTCATTCTATATTTCCTCCTTTGGTTTTAAGTGCCTTGCAAACAAATTTCAAAAACCAACTCCCAGCTTTATCCTTTTTACCCCGAGGACCATTATCTGCAACCCCACCTTGCTTTTGCATCTTCTTCAGGGGCTAAAATTGTACTTCAGTCCTTCCAACTCACAGGGCAGCCACAGAGAGATGAGCTGTACAAGAACAGATACTCTTTTTGGGTGGGTACCAAGGCAGAACTGGTGCCTGATAGCAGATGTTTAGCAGGTACATGGAATTTATCTGCTGTAGCCTGAGGCAGGATGAGAACTACACTGTGTTGGCTGCTAAACAAACTGCAAGAATTGCTGTCCCTTCTTACAAGCTCCAGATGGAAAAAAACCAAACCAAACCAAAAACCAAACAAAACTCCAATTATTTAGGAATGCTTATTTCTAAAAGTTTAATTGGCAGGACCAAAGGCCACAGTGCACAAAGACATGCCTCTAAAAATTTGCATGCTGTCACAATACCCTATTTTAAAGTATCATAACGTGAGGCAAGGGAAGACAAGGAATTTTAACCAGGGAAATGCACCAATGGTTTAGGGCTCTCTACAATAGCACTCTTGCTAAAATCACCTCTGATTCTACAGACTCTGAAGTGTTATTATGGGAGATACACAGATGCCATGACAGATCTTGCTTTTGCTTCAAAATCCATGTGCAACAACTCACTTCCTATTCCCAGTACAAGCTCCCTGTCACACACATTATGAGGCAAAATCAACAATCTAATCAGATCTGACAAAAAGTCGGCCAAAGAAAAAATAAAGTGAAATTATGAAGATGACTATTTGAAATATGGATTTATATCTGTCACCCTCAATGATGAGCCTCCCCCTAAGTGCACACTGCACCTCGACATATTAGATAATGATAACATGAAGCTGTCATGATTAGCAAGACATTTAAAAACTAGGCACCCAGAAGGTGAGGAAAAATCTCTACAATTTCTTCACCATTGTTTTTAAGCCATGGCAAATAAAAGCCTCTTTTAAGGTTCCTTACTTTATAGGAAAAGACACAAAGGCATAAACCATCAGAGAAGGGTTTGGGCTTCCTGCTGCAGTAAAATATGGCTGAAATAACACATGGAAAACAATATGCCATTCCTTTGTCAGCAAATCCTGCTGGAAGACTCATAGAAAACAGCTGAAGATTTGAAGAAATGAGTATTAGAACAGCTTATGGACCGTGGGAGGTTTGCTGTGCTGCTGGCTGGATGCACAGATGTTTCTAACAAGTCTCAGCTTCCAGTAAATGCTGCATTGTTTCAGTGATGAACTGGGAACTCCTCTGAATAGCTACAGGAAAGATGTATCTGAGTAGACTCCACATATTCTCAACAGTAAATTACTTCTTTGACAGAAACAATGTTTTATGGGGAAACTCTGCAAGTGTACACTCCTGTGGTTCTATCTGGAAACTCCACCCTGCAATCCTTTTATTTTTCTATTCCAGTTAAAGCAGCCCCTCCATCACCACATGAAATTCTTCCACTGTATCATTCACAGGCAAACTGATGCAGCAACACTGGAGCCCAAAGCGCTGCAGGATGTCATTGATTATATAATTTTATAAAAATAAGACTTTAAATAGTAGCACCTTTACAATACCTTGTAACGAGATGAGGAGTGAGCATTAAATTCATATTCCCACACTGAGTTCTGCTAGTTACCTTGTGGCAAAGTGCTTAAAGGAGTCATCAGATTTAAACCATTATGTGTTTTTTCCACTAACACAACTGTTCAAAATTTGCTGATCTTTTCTGTGATGACAGCTGGCTGTCAGTAGTATGCTAGCTACCAGATATTTTCAAATAAATACACAAGGTGAAGCTGATGTTTTAACAGTGAAGCACAAAAGTAATTGTTTTTCAAAAGAAACTCGTTCTACAGAGACTGTTTGGAAAACTGATACTTGGAAATGTTTCCACTGCTGGGTGATTTTTTGGTGAAAATTAAACTTCACCTATAAAAACCTCTGAAAGCTGTACATAATTTTCTAACCTTTAAAATATTTTTTTTTAAAAAAATCTTCCAAAAGAAGAGTTTCAGGGGAAGAGAAGAAAGCAACATCTTCCCTTTAGCCTGTAAGAACAACTGATTGACATCAGGGAAGATGGAAATTTATTAGATGAATTCCAAGAAAAGCCTTTTCATAGTTAGTGCATGAGAGTGGAAAATTAGTCTCGTGATTTAGTAAGCACAACCAACAATGCACTTCTCCCCCTTGGAGGATCTGTGGCCACTAAAACAAAGTACTGAAATAAACTGAACTTAGAACCAGCTCCTCAGTGGCTGTATCCAAGTGATAAACCAACATTTAAAAAAATACTGAGGCATATTCAATCACAGAGCTCTCACTGAACGATTCCTTAATGAGAGAGGAAAAGGGTGTTGTTAAAAAATAAAACAAATTTTCTAAAGTTCTTTCTTAATTTCTATTTCTTGTGTATGTCCTACATTAGTGCAGTAGTATATGTGTATAATTTATAAACAATATACATAGTTTGGGAGTGTGTGCTCACAAAGCTTTTACTGATAAGGGTGTGAGATAAGAAAAATCTTCAGAAATCACTGCCTTAAATGAAAACCTGGCAGGCTGGCAACACTATTCCAGAGGAATTACTGCAATGGCTGATTGTATGAAGATCCACACAGAACACAGTGTTTCGGTTTTAGTTTTCAACAAAAAATAACAGGGGGTTTTTTTGCCCTCACAGGCAGATGGCATTTGTAACGCTTCAAACTGCAATTCATGTTTGAAAAGGAATGATAATGGCATTAGGCAGGAACACACTGTTCCTGCACAGATATTCACAGTCATTACCCAGTCACTCTCACAGCCTGGCCTTGCAGTGGCCTGCTGGGATCCCCAGGGCACCTCTACCCTTCTAACTCGTGGCACACTCCCTTCATCTGCGTTAAACAAACTCCAGCAACTGCTGCATAAGCAGTTTACCTTAACCACACACTTGTACCACAATCAAGGTATTTTCCTGCCTCCTGTCTTCGCCACCAAAACCCTGCCATTCCCTTGGGAGTGCTCTTATAAAGTCAGCTGAAGTTCTGACACGAAAACTTTTAGAACACATTCTCTGCCCAGGCCCCTCCCAATATTTGAATGCTTTGTCTTGTGGGATTTCTTACAGAAAAGCAAGTGCCTTGTGAAACTTAAATCCCATTGTTTCTTATTTACTATTTCTTGCTTTTTTTTGTTAGGCAGAATGGATTAAAATCTGGTTGGCACCTGGACCACCACAGCAATTAATACAAACAGGCTGCTGAAAGCCTTTGCTTTCGGGAAGTATGCAAGAAGTAAAGAACTAGAACTTTAAGAGCACTTTTCAAAGAGAAGTCACCTGAGAACAAGTAACACTTCCTTAAATCTTCTCATAGAGCAATTTCAACCATTAAATATTTGCACTAGAGCTCAGGCTTCCACCAACTGTTGGGATGGATGGGCCTTGCTGCAAACCAGGCAGCAGCAAAGCAGTTGTTAGGACAGCAAAAGTGATACTCTCTCCTTCCCCCCTCAAAAATACTACCAAGAAATTTGCACACTTGGGCTTTCTAAATGTACTTGCAACTAGGTGGTCACCTACTGACCACAACTGGTCTCTTCCTCAAGCTCATCAAGTTTCCAGTTATTATTTCCCATGGTACTGGAAGGGTTTCTGTTGGTGTTGGATGCTTTGCTGTGACTGCTATAAGGGGGTTTTTCAAGACTGGACCGTTTTCTTCCAGGAACAGCCCCACAGCAGTGGGACAGCTCCCTATAACAGTTAAGGATCTGCTTGTTCTGGTGGCCATTCTGAGCAAAACAACAGGCAGGGTACAAAAGGAGAGGGGCAAAGTTTTAAGTGTCCCACAGCCATGGATGCAGGTAGCACCACTAACAGACTGTCCTCCTGCTCCACGAAAGGTTTGGCTTTTTCAGCCTGGCCTTTGCTTTCTTGGCTCTCCAAGGACAGAGAGAGAACCAAATTCCCCTCACTCATACAGCACCTGTGAACCCTTTGAACTGACCCCTTACACATCCACATCCTCCACACACAGAGGCCTCAGACAAGACTCGGCAGATCCACTGGAACCCCCCTTGGCTCCATGTCTGGATTTGTTCGGTGTTTAATCCAGTCTGGTCTGTCCAGCCTCACCAAGCAAATTAACTATCCCTTCTTCAGAGGTTTCAGTCTTCTGTACATTCAGTAACATCTCTCAGAGTGCAGTGAACAGCCTAACCCAGCACCAACCAGGCTGATCCAGACCTCACTCACAGCTGCAAACGCAGCCACAGGATTTTCTGTAAATTAAAAAACCCAAGCATTTTTCAGGTTTGGTACACACTCCAGGATCTTGGGTTCTTGCTTGGGGTCTGTACATCCTCAGCTGTTGCACAAAACATTTCCAAGGAGTACTTTAAACATCACAACAGACTGACCTCAGTTCCCACAGCCTTTGCTTTTTTAAACTGAAGCTGGACATTTACCTGCTCCTCCCTGTAGCAGGGCCTTGAGCGATACCCTGACCCAGGAGATGTGCCACTGGTTCCTTCTGCTTGCCCCTGATTCCAGCTGTGCAGTAGTGGCTCCCACTTGATCCTTTCCCCAGAGAGTTCAGACAATTCCTTGTCAACAGATGTTTCTTTACACCACAACAAAAATTCATCTAAGAAAATCTTTCAGTCAAAAATGGGAGAGAACTACAAGAATTACAAAAAACAAGAAATAACAGGAGTTACAGAACTTGCAAGCTACAGGAATTCAGTTTGGGCTTCCTGATTTCATTTATAGGCTCATTGCTAAATTTTGATTCTGTCCTGGTATCTAAACATTTTTATCATGTCTAAGGATTATGTCCCTCAGTCACCATCACATTCCTGACACAATCCCTCCCTCTAGGTTACCACAGGTCTTGTCTTCAACAGGCACCATCACTTCTGTCAGACACTGCTGACCTGCCTTCCCTGCTTCTATTTTTTTCTGCCAAGTCCCACCTCACAGTTTGTTACACAGCACTTGGCACATTTAAATTGAACAAAGGTAAAAGGTACTTGCCATAAATTACTTCAAGACCAATTAATGTTTCCAGATGCACAAATTCAAGTCAGCAAGTTTTGGAACTGTTTTATGCTTATATTTATGGCATCTAAACACAAACTTTAAATCTCACATTCCAGAAAAATCAGTACTTGCCCACTAGTACATAGCACCACTATAACCAAACTACAGTACAAGCTGGACTTGAGGCAGCTGAGACAAAGGGTTATTTGCCACATTACATATACCAACTCCCAAGAAAGGTAGAGAGAGATCATTATAAGAAAACAAACAAGAATATGTAATAAGAAAGGCATCACAAAACTCTGAAGACCTGAAGGCAATACCTCTATTAAAGAGGTTCTCACACCACACCAACTACTTTAGCAAAACACTAAACACTTTGATACACTAGAGCAACAAATCTCTACCACAGCTGACAAATGTAAATTGTTATTCAACTCGAAAAAGTCATCAGTCCATGCAGTACCACTGATTCTTTATCACCTCAATTGTTATTTGCTGTGATTTAGAAGACTGAGAGCCTCCTGCTTACTCCTGGGTTATATGTCACTTTTTCACGGAAATAAGAAATCTCAGCCTTACCAAAGGTGCCAGAAAGACACAAGGTTCATTTCCAATTCACTTCAGCTCACACTTTCTCCCTGCTGCCCAAACACAGAAAGATGAGCTACCTACTGAGAATGAAAGGAAGGCAACTTCAAGTGCCAGCCCGACCCAGCTTGGCAGAAATTCAACTGGTTGCTGCCAAGTCAAGGGACTACAAGTCAGGCAGCACTGCAATACTGTAAAGATATTTTAAGACAAGACTTACTGTTGTGAAGTCACCCTCACCTTGTGGAGTCAGTCAGTGCATTTTCCAGCCTTTTGGAGACGCCTGAGAGTAAAAAGGCGCCGGAGCTTTGAGAATCGAGGGGGTGGATCTCTGGGGATGAAATCCCAGCTTGCAACTGGAAGTGGAAAATATCAAAATGTTATCACAATTGCCTCAAGTATGCAGGCTAATTCAAACTCAACTCCAAGATAAGCACATGTGCACACAGCACAGCCAGGGAAATGGTTCTCTGACACTGCTGTGAAATGGGTTTTCAGCAGCATTAGCAGGGACAGAAACCTTGAAAATTCATTGTGCACACTCACAGGCCTGGTGTCAGAACTACCCACAGGCTCCTCACCACCTTCTCGTCCCCAAGCCCATCGGTCCCACTCCAAAGGCACGACTTCCCTGTGCCCAGAGACAAAAGGCCCCGATTGTCCAAACTCTGATCAGACACAGGGTTCCACAGCACCCTGGGGGTCAGCCTGGCACATCTAAGGAGCTTGGGCTATTTTCAAGGCATTCTGCTTGAAAAAGGAATGGATTGTTTAATCACAATAAAAATAAAGCACACAAGAGCTTAAGGCACGACATGATGTCCATAATCATAATCTCATCCACAGAGTTGCAAAAGCCTAGATTATTCTGCTTAATATAGCCTCTGGAACTTGGAAGCCAAACTGTTCTGAAAAAAAACCTCTGCTTTATCATTTGTACCTCCATTGTCCCCAAAAATTCTTCAGTTCAATTTAATTTATATTCTTAGAATCATATATGGTCAAAAGCAGAAGCCCAGAGGTAAAAATCTGCATTTTCCTTCAGGTACCAACAGACAGGACAATCTGAAACTGCAATTTCCAGCTCCCTCCCAGTAACATTTGTCCCAACTCACACTACAATCCAAATGCAAACAAATGAAATGCAATAATCCCTTATTAAGACATCCTCCCCCCATTTGCAACAACACCCAACCATTCTGCTTGCTGTTCTCAATTTGCATCAGCATTCTATTGTCTGCAGAAACATGCATAAGCAGACTTGCCAAACCTCTTAAAGATTCAAAGGCTGGGAAAAGAAAAGAATTTCTGAAAGCTGGATACAGTGGTCTGTAAACACATTCACACTTCTTTCCTAATTATGGCCTGGTGCAAAGGCAGCATCTGAGAAAGGCTTCTTAGCAAGAAACTCTGCATATTAAAAAAAAACAAGATGTCCACACATTTGGCAGTTTACCAACTATCTCTGAGGGTCAGATAGGACTGGGAGCTGAGAATTACCTCAAAATGGTATTTTCGGAACTAAAATGCTAAAATGATGGACTGGAGGGATGCCTCAGCTCACATTTCAGGAACATAAAACACCGATATCCCAGTTATCTGACACTGCAGTGCCACAAGAAGGAATGGAGGTGGATGTTTGCACTACTGTCTACATGTGGGGACTAATTAGGCACTGTCATTTTTGCAAGCCACCTAGACTTTGCATTTGCACAAATTCAATAGATATACATTATATAGGTAAGCATATAGAGTGACACAATCCAAACACTAATGCCTCAGAACACCCCTGCCACGTGGAGTCAAATCTTTGTAGAAACAATACCAAATAAGAGAAGGTTTTCACAACAGAAATTCTAAATCATCATGAAGACTGTGCAGCTCAAGCTATGCCACAGCCAGACAGCTCTTTCGAGCCTTCTCCTCCCACTCCAAAATAAGACTTGAATCTACTGTAGTGGTGTTTTGCACTATTCAGTTATATTTATAACCATAGATGCATTTCCTAATGTAAGTAGAATTCAGTGATTAGATTAGCTGGCAAATGATGAAAGCAGTCTGAGCAAAACTGTACAACAAACCAAGCTCAGAGTAAAATTACTTAATCCTTTGCAGTTCAAATGCAAGTTCATCTTTCCCAACATCATCTACTCGTAACCAATCTATTCATCACACGAGCACACCATAAACCCTCTCGCCCTCTCAGGCACTACTACAGTGCAATGGCAACGTTTCAAATCAACTTAAATTAGGCTGTACTACATTCCATTACATGATATCATGCAACAGATGTTACTCGAAGAACACACAGGACAATTATTCAGGATAAACTGCTGTAATTTGAATGGTGAAATTAATGGGTATCCTATATGAAATTGCTGTAGTCTTCATCTAGTTTTGTGCTGAGATTCAGAACTTGAACATTGCCTGAGTTTGCAGTAGTTAATCCAGACACTTAGACTGGCAACCAGAAACAAGAACTATTCTTATCTTACTTAAGCTCAATAATTTTGTTATCAATAGATAAGCCAGAGTTCCAGTTAACCCTTTAGTTCTGCAGTGACCAGTGAGTCAGGTGAAGCATTATGAAGCTCGAATGAAATGCACTTTCAAGAGGCAAGAGACACCCCCATCCCTCCTCAGCTGTTTGGTAACCTTCATTTTAAGGTAAAAATGTCATGTTTTGAAAATTAAAGCAGAAAAGGTAGTTCATCCAACTTAACTCACAGCAAACTTAGCTAACAGCTGTTCTGTTGGAAGAATGGCTGACCATTACCTCAAACAGACACAAAAGCTTTCCATATACCACAATTTGTAAGGTATTTATAACTAACACTGGCAGCTTGCACTCATACTTGCAACACACATATAAATAAGTGTTGTTTTACATAAGCAAGAGCAACCTCAGAAATGTATTCTTTGTTTTTATATCATAAGGACATTGTTCCATAGCTACTGGGCTCTTCTGATGATGCAGAACTCCCCAGCGCCTTTAAGTAACATACTTCCAAACTCAGGAGTGGCTTTCTGGCTTGAAATTTAATATGGCTCAAACTTGGCTCTAAAATACAGGTCTGCAAAACAAACTTTAAAAAGATTTGGAGGGAAGTGGTCAACTGTTTAATCCAACAAGAGGGTTTTTTTCAATCAATGAACACTCCCACAATCTTTCTGACCAGGCATCGCAGCAGCATTTTAACACACAAGAAGTAAAGCCTAAAAAAAACCCTGAAATGGCAGGTCAGCAGAACAAAAGCGCCACACAAGGTGAGCACAAAGCCAGCAGAGGCCCCCGTTCCCACCAGGTGTTCCCAGGCAGCGGCACCGCACCGGGGCCCCACAGACACCCCAAAGCAAGGCTGTCCTGCACCCCAGACAGCTGCGGGGGGGCACGGGGGAAAGAGGGGTCAGGACACGGCACGGACAGACCCTCTGCAAGCACCGGACAGGCTGTGCTTTGCTCAGTCCTGGGCACGGAGCCCCTGGACCGGTGCAGGCTCCGGAGCAGCTCGGCCGCCCACCCTCCCCCGTGTTCGCTGCGCAGGGGCCGCGTCCTGCCCTCCCTCCTTCCCCTCCCTCCGGGGTGACCCCGCGGGACCGCCCCGAGACCCGCTGCCGGCCCGCTGGGGAGATGCGGACACAGGGAGATGGATAATACGGATCCACGCGTATGCAGACGCGTCGCGATCGTCCTTGGGAGGTCGTCGCTTCACAGCGTATTGCGAAAAGGGTTTTTTATGCATCGCGGTCGCCAGCAGAGCCCGACAGCGAACAGCCCCGGCAAACCCACCCCGGCCCGGCCACGCGAAGGGAGCGGCCACCCCGGCACCTCCCTCCATCCATCCCAGCCCTGCACGGCACGGGGGAAACGCCGGGACACCGCGGGATCCCTCGCATCCCAACCCGGCCCCGCTCGTGGCGAAGGGTCGGTGAGCCGGGGTCGCTCCCCGCACGGCTCCCGCACAGCCCCGGCCGAGCTGCACTCCCTGGGACCGGCAACTTGTTGGTCGGGCAGCGCTGCCCCGGGCGAGGCTGCGCGGGGGCACCGGGGCTGCAGCTCCCAGAGGCGCGCTGTGCCCGCACCCCGAGCCCCGCACCCCGAGCGCCGCCCGCAGCCTCCGAGCGGTGCCCGAGCCCCGCAGCGCCGAGCGCCGCCCGCACCCCGAGCCCCGGAGCCCCGCGGTTCCGAGCGCTGCCCGCACCCTCCGAGAGGTGCCCGCATCCCCCGAGCCCCGCAGCACCGAGCGCTGCCCGCGCCCCGAGCCCCGCACCCTCCGAGAGGTGCCCGCATCCCCCGAGCCCCGCAGCAGCCGCCGCTCAGCCCGCGCCGAGTGTTCCCCCTCCCGGCGCCGGGCAGGGACCGCACGTTCCGTGCGCTGCGCACCGGCGGGGCAGGGCGAGGGTCCCCGCGGGCTCCTACCGGGCACGGCGTTACTGCGGCACCGCGGGGCGCCCGAGCCCCGCCGCTCTCCCGCCTCCTCCCCGCCTTCGCCCCGCTCGCCCGTCGCCGCCGCGGCCCCGCCGCTCCCGCAGCCGGCGCGGAGCGGGCTCGGCGCAGACCCCCGCGGGGAGGGCAGGAAGCGCGTCATCACTGCGGGCCGATCGCGCCCTCCGCCCGCCCGGCGCTGAGGGACCGCGGGACGGAGCCGGGACCGCGGGACGGAGCCGGGACCGGCGGGGGGCAGAGCCGGGACCGGCGGGGGGCAGAGCCCGCCTCAGCGCCTACCCGTGCGTGAGGGACAGGCACCTCCGCCGGCCGCCACCCGCACCCGGCCGAGGAGGCAGCGCCGCTCCCGCTCCGCCCGCCCGGCACCGCGGCACCGGGAGACGGCGGCTCCTCGGGGGGGAGGAGGAGGAGGAGGAGGAGGAAGGCCGGAGCAGCCCCGCGAGGAGGAGGATGAGCCCGCCCGGCCCCTCGGGCAGCGCTGAGCCCCCCGGCACAGGGTGACAAACACACACAGGCACAGCGCCGCAGCGCCCGCGGGTTGTGCCGTACGGAGCGTTTACAAGTAACGGGATCAGTCGGGTTGGAAAAGACCTCTGGGATCATCGAGTCCAACCTGTAACCAAACACCACCTTGTCACCCGGACCAGCGCTGCATTAAGCACCTCCAGGGTCGGTGACTCCATCACCCCCCTGGGCAGCCCCTTACCAATGTCTGCTCACCCTTTCTGTGAAGAAATTCTTCCTCATGTCCAACCTGAACTTTCTCTGGCACAAATTGAGGCCGTTTCCTCTCATCCTATCGCTGGTTGCCTTGGAAAAGAGACCCCCCCCTGGCTCCCCCCTCCTGGCAGGGAGTTGTAGAGAGTGAGGAGGTCTCCCCTGAGCCTCCTCCAGGCTGAGCCCCCCCAGCTCCCTCAGCCTCTCCTCACAGCACTTGTGCTCCAGTCCCTTCCCCAGCTCTGTTCCCTTCTCTGCACCTGCTCCAGCCCCTCCATGTCCTTCCTGAGCTGAGGGGCCCAGAGCTGGGCACAGCACTCCAGGGGTGGCCTCACCAGTGCCCAGCACAGGGGAAGGATCCCCTCCCTGGTCCTGCTGCCACACTCTTCCTGACACAGCCAGGACACAACACCAGCAACAAATGGGCTGCAAAGCAAAGGAGACTCAGGGCTTTCCTTACACCTCTCTGAGCTGTTCTACCGCTGTTAGATTATGTAAGTGGTTTCCATACCAATATATTGATACCAGCATGAGAAAGTTACACCTACAGAAATCCCTTACATGAATTAGTGTCATACATACTGGGGCCTCTATCTGTAAAACTGCGGCAGTTAAAAATCATGCAATTAAAGTAATTTAATCTGATTTAGCTGAAGTACAGCCATTACTATGTATTTTTACTTGTAACCAGCTTAAAGACCTACCTCGGTCTACAGCTGGTTTTGCTTTCCAGAGTAATTTTGCTGCAACAAATTAACCTTAAGTCTGTAGTTACAAAAACTAACTAGGTTACCTTGTACACCCACCCTACAGTGTTCAAAGCATCACAATGTTAACATCATTACAGTAATAGTCACTCAAAGCTGCACCAGCTCTAGCAAAGGAACAAGTGTCTGTTAATTAAAACAGAGACTATACAGGGGTTGCTTTGTAACTTGCCAACACTTGCCAATATACCAGTTTTACAAATGAGTTACTGTTATCATATTGTTACTAAAGAGATACGACCTTGACTCCTGTAAAAAGAAGAGATAACTGAAGTATTTCTTGTGCTTTAGAGGTAGTTTTGCAGATACAAGTTACCTATGAACAGCCATAACACTTTGCATAAAGAGCAGTTTGGGGCTTGTTTTGGGTTTTGGGTTTTTTCCCTGGCCTTTTACTACCATGATGATAAGCTTCCAGCAATGTGGTTTTCCCTATTTGGCATACAACTTTAACTTCCTTAAAAATATCCATAAATTTCATTCTTCCCTTTGTGCTGTATTATCCTATTTTCTGGCTGCAATGTTGCTTCAAAAGAAACTTCCTCTACTCCATGGCTATCCTTGATTGCCTTAGCTTTTCCTGCCTTCCCTTTTAAACCTTCTCCCAGCCTGTGTGTTCTCTCACACAGAAAAGTGCAAGGCCACAATTCCAGTCTCTCCTGCCCTTGTCATTCCTCTGTTCTCCTGTTTCCTCTCAGTTCACAGGAAGGCTGGTTAAACCTCTGTGCTGCAAACAGCTACTTTGACATCTCTGCAAAGAGATTTAGCAGAATGCCTGCAGAAATACCTCCCAAGTCAAACAGAACCAAATTTTACTCCAGTATGGATGCAATGGCAAGACCAGGATCCCCTGTACCATTTTTATGTCGTGCTACTCCCAACAAAACTGTGTGTCTGGACACATTTACTGTGTCCCTTTGTACCCAGCCAGTGACTTGCTTCGGGGCACAAACCAGCTCTTCCTTCCCCTGCCAGGTGGTCTGAGCACTTACCTGCAATCCACAGTAAGAATCCATGAGAAAACCATCACAATAATTAACAAGGTATTCTGTCAATCTGTCATGTGAGGATCCAGCTTTTGTTATTTCAGTAATGAGAAATATCCGTATTTTTGCTTCAGCACAGTGGATATAGAGAACAGAAGTATAACTTCCTGGTTCCTTTACAGTATTTCAGCTTATACAAATTTGCAGATAGGTGCACTTCCCTTGGAAAAAAAATATAGTAACATTACAGCTGAATCTGAAAGCATTTACATCAATGTATTCATAAGACCCAAAGCTTCTTTAGCATTTCTACAGAAGCTTTGGTCTTTCTTTTCTATTCAGTCTTCCACTGGTTTCCTGGAGTATAATTAGGCTGATTTTAGCAGTCATAGCTTTGGAGTTTGAGATATTAGTATCTGTGTGGCATAATAATCTCCTGAGAGTAAATCAGACTCCAGTTGCAGTTACCAGCTGTGACAGGTGATGTTTATGATTCACTCTGATTGAGTGGAAAATAACATCAAAAAAACCCCACCACATTTCTAAGGTTTATTTGTGTTCAGGGAACATTTTAAAATTGAGACATTCAATTGGACACCTGACTTCCTTCCATCCCATCTATTCTAACACTTTATCTTTACATCTTCTAATTACCCCAGAGTTTTAGGGGGATCAGGGATGTTCTCTGGTGGTTTGCCAATGATGTTGGAGATGGTTTTTTCCCCCCAGCTCAAGAGGCAGATGTTAATCTCCAAAAACTGTCATGAAGCATCCACACAAACTATCCATAAATGATGTCATACTTGTTCATAGCCCTCTGTTAATCCTTGTATTGAAATTACTTTAGCATTCTGGTACTTAAAATATCCTGTGGATGAGAGCAACACTGGCATATCTGCTGATGTTTTGGGTGAACTAGAGCTTAGCCAAGTGTGTGTGTGGGTGCCTTCAGTGAAGTATGTTATAAACAGTTCTCTCATCAGTCCTTTCAAATGCATTTGAAATCACTGTCTCAGAACAGGCACTTTAAAATGCAGCACAAGTCATACCCAAGCACATAAACTAGATGCTGTGTGTGTGACAGGACTATGCTAATAATTAAATTAGAGAGTTTCGAAAGTTGTGTTTAAGACACATATTTATAAAATGACATTTGGAATGAGTCAACGTTACCCTTGATGAATAACATTAAGCAAAACTCAGCACTCTCATTATTGCTTCAGCATTAGCAGGCTGTGATGGTTCTGAGTGCTCTGACAGCCCTTTATGGCCCTGACCACCCTCACCAGGGGCCTTCACCCACACCCTCTGCCCACGTGGCCCAGGAGCTCCATATAAGCTCAGCCTGGGCCTGTAGCCCCTGTGTAAGCTGGCCTGGGGACTGTCACTCTGGAACTGTGGGCTCTGGGAGTGACACTGTAATTTGTAGCCCAAATTCCTGTTCTGGCTCTGAACCTTCTTTGTACATGGACCTGCTGTAGGAACGACTAGTCTGTGTCTGACCCTTCACTGGGCATCATCCTGACCTGTGGATTGGTTTCCTGGCTGCATCTTGGATCTGCTTCATTGGTGCAAACCTCTCTAGAGCTTTGGGCTCTTGACTGAGCCTGTCTTGTTACTCTCACTGGGTACTGTAGGATGGCTCCTGGGTTTCTTTGCTCTGTTAAAATGTCCAGGCCAAGAGATCCTGTAGCATCTTTGTGTAGCTGGTTCTGGTGTTCTACCAGCCCTAGTAGGAGGTGTCTTTGAGGAGCTAGTCCAGGCTTGTGGTGTTAATTCAGACAGGCTCTTATTGTTCTGCTCTCTTTGGTCATAATAAACAAGTGGATTGTAATTCTGACTTTATATTTACGGCAATTTTAACTTTATAGTTGGAGAACTTTTCTTTCCCCTGCTTGTCTAACACCTATTTAGGTGTTCCTGAAAAGATTGATAATTTCTTTGGGGTTCTTGTATCTCCTCTGTATCATTATAACTTTATGCTTTTCAAAATCTAGTGCAGTCCTCTCTTTTTATCTTTAATTTGTGGATCCTGTTAGCTCCCTAGATCACTTCTGCTGTTCTGGTACTGAGCTGATTAACTTCTGGTTTGTATTTGTACTCAGGCTTTTTCTTTTCTGTTTACCAATTGAGTTTGACAACGCTGGGACATCCCTTCAGTTTGTTCCAATTGTTTGGATTCTTAAGTCTCTCCTTTAGTACTCAAACTGCAGTTTGGTTTGTTAACTTGGATCTGCACAAAGGGTAGCTTTTGGGTACCATGGAGCCTGGGGTTGTGGGCAGCTCATGGGCTTCATGAAGACTGAATTATCTCTGCTACCTTGAGTCATATTGCTGTCATTTGACTTTACCAGAGTCACCACCACTCCCTCCCTCCCTTCCTTGGACAGTATCTCAAGACCTCACTGGGCTGAGAGGCAGCAAAAGGCCCTTGTGCTACAGGTGGACAAGGCACAGAGGAAGGGGGGATGGTTCTGATTTTCTTCCCCATTACTCACCCCCACTTGTAGTCCCCAGGTATCCACCAGTGCGTGGAAAACACCCTGTGGCACATCTTGTGCTCGACATACTCAGTGAAGGTCTTGAGCATGTGAGAGGGAA